AAATCTTACAGTTCATTAACATTTTTTGAAAAAAAAAAAAAAAAATCACCTTTATCCACCAAACAGAGCACGACAGCGTTCAGAATGTACAAATTTAAATTGAGGTAAAAACAGTTGGAAGAGAAATACAGAGCAAGACTCCAAACAAATAATACAAAGCCTGAAGCATGCAATGTTTCCATGTGTATGTCAATTTCGAAAGGAGGATAACATTACATGTTCATTCTCGACCGAAAAGATCTAGTGATGTACTCATATACTGATAGTAATGCTGTGGACAATATCCAATGACATTAACACGTATGATAAGGGTAACTATACAGTATCAGACACTAATAAAGAAAAAGATGTTAAAATATGGTCTTATCGTAATGTCCAGTACTATAGAATACTACATACAAAACATGCTCTTACTGTCTGCATACTCATCCAACTTGTCTCTGTCAGACCAAATTCAAGGACTAAAAAAAATCCAAGGTCTTAATTGTAATCCACAATTCAACTGATAATGTTGATGAATTATACTATATAAAAATGTCATATCCACTGAGACAGCATGATAAACCAAGCAATAAATATTAAGGAGTGTTGTTCACATGCATTAAAAAAACTAAGTATGCAATATTACCATAACATAATATTTAGAAAAGATTGCTTATTTCAGCAAAGTAGAAGATTGAGTTGGGAGATTATGTGCTTCCAAGCAAAAATGTTACTTAACTATGAAAATAAAAATTATAAGGTACAAGTAGATGGTATTGTCCTCAATCAGTTTCTTCAATTTTTTTCATGTATACTGAACCTCTTTTGGCGTTAAAAAAAAATTGCCTATAAATGATCCTTTTGAGCAGAACGTCCTGATAGAATGTCTATTTTCCTTTAACATACCAAAAAGACCAAGCTTACATTAAAAATTCTACCAGAGAGATTAATTATTTGTGAATCAAGTTCAGATATATTCTCACATTTCAAGTTTACCTATATGCAGTCAGATTTCATTTCCATTTCTCATCACTCAGTCTATCATCAATAATTTAAGGTGCATCATCCTGAAATTTGAAAATCAAACTCCCAGAAGGCTTTTAACCTTAAACCAGCTGTCACACTATAAAAGAGATATACCTTCAACTTATCCCACAACGAAGGCAACAGTTCCTCTGACGTCAAATTCTTCTGCAATCTCTTATACATTGCATTGATAGACTTGTCAACCTATCAAAAGTTAAATATGTACTCAGAAAATATATCCAAAAAAAAAAAAAAAAGATGCCAAATTCATTAGGTTTAGGGATTTACTTACACCAGATAAACTTGATTTTACAACCTTCCGCAGATCCATTTTTGACAGTCCAAGCTGGAATGGGATCTGCATTTTTTTTGATGCATCAGTTATAATCACGGATAAGTTAATTAAAACTTTGAAAGCAAATACAGGAAATGACACAAGTAATAACAAGACTCAAAAGCCAGGTCCATATGGAGCTAATAATATAAGAATGTGATCCACAATCATGGAAAACTGCTAGTGACGTAACACTAATAGCAGCCGAGCTATATTTCATAGTGCTGCTAATATGAACTTTGCAATTCTGAGTTTTCTTTTGTGTTCTCTTCATAACAAATCAAGAATGTCTCCTTGAGCTGTTTGAAAAATAGATTTCAAATATTGTACATATTCAGTTGAACCATAAAACCTTCTGCCAATAAGTAGTATCAATCTTTTACTCGTCAAACTAATTACAATCTTTTGGGAGAGTAACTCGTGCCATCATGTGCTCAAGTGAAATCATAAATGGCAGTGTCAAGGTACAAAGTCAAAACCATAATAGAATAAACTACCTAAAGTATGCAAGACGCATATCAAATAGAGAACATAAGCATAGAGGACATTAGACTTCTCAACTATTACTTATACTGCACATGGAGGCTGAGACAGGCAGAAAAGGATTGATGTAACCAACCCAAAATTTATTAGATTTTTAGTTTGTGGTTTTGTGGAGGCAGAGACAGTTCCAAAGATTAATGAAATCAAAAGATGGGATCAAACGGAGAAATCTAAAATTCCTCGTGACGTAAAAATGGTGAGCAGGAATGAGCATGCATAATTATTACAACGAGAGCCCTCATCAACAAGAGTAATGCAGTTAACACAAGTAACTAAAGCCCTAGGG